CCCCAGTTAACACAAAAAGCCACAAGTAGAAGATGGGCAAGCCCCCCCCCCCATGCCCCCACCCACCCAATGCCCACACGCCCCAAACCGGTACTGTGCAAAATGGTTCTTATGACAAAAAGTCTGTTTTAATGCTTCATATCGAACAGCACAACACCTTATTTTAAGTTTTACATCGGGGAAAGTGGCTTTCAATGTTTACACATCATGTCCACCAGATGGCGCACGTTTCCCTCCATTCAACGCACGGAGCCGCGTTCAATTAATATTCACAATTAAGCATCAAAATATTTGTCAGGCCACGATAATAAATGAACTGGTTGTGTTGTACCTAATCTTATGACCCATGAGGGCGTTAACAGCACAAGTGAGGACCTGAAGTGTCACATGAAATCATGCAAATGTCATTTCCGAACTGTATTTCAAAAAAAAAAAAAAAACAGAGAGAGACTTGGATTGGGGGAAAACAACACATGGCCGGCATTCCGGGTCACAGAGTTCTCAAGTTCATCAGCTATTTCCCCAATTAGACTCCATAAAGCATCAGCTACTGTCTCATCTGCTCTTTGGACGTAATCTAATCGAAGGCCGATGCTGCATCTCGGGAGGCCAAAATTAGAACGCAGCTGGTTCACAGAGGATAAGCGACGTCTTTGTCGGAGTGCCGCTCATTTCCTTCCAGTCGGGCCAGAACTGGAGGAAGATGTGAAATAATATCATTTGAAAGGAGATGTACAAATAGAAGTGGAAGAGGAAGAAGGGGGGTGGGGGGCGGGGGAGTCAGCTTGGGTGACGTGAATGAAAGAGCTCCAAGCGGGAGGCTTTGAATTTTCTCAATGTTGCACAAATTGCAATCACGCTTGAGATGATGACGGTCAAAGAGAGATAATTACACACGCACACACACATGCACACGCACGCTCACGCACACACATGACCTAATCAGTTAATTAATCAAACGGGGTATTTTTTTCACGTTGGCAAGTTTGAGCAAGGCACAGCGCATAAAGCCTTAAAAAAAGTGGCCTAACATCCATCCATCCATTTTCGGAACCATTTTATCCTCATGAGGGTCGCAGGTGTGCTGGAACCTATCCCAACTGTCTTCGGGCAGTAGGCGGGGGACACCCTGAACCGGTTGGCAGTCAATCTCAGGGCACACAGAGACCAATAACCATCCACGCTCACACTCACACCTAGTGACAATTTGGAGTGTTCAATCAGCCCGCCATGCATGTTTTTGGAATGTGAGAGGAAACCGGAGTATTTTGTCCATTTAAATATCTTTTTTAGCACATTTTTATTTCATTCTCTACTGTTTTCCCATTTTAAGAACGTATTCTTCATGGATTCGATTTGTGGAGACCACTTCAATCATATTCAAGAGTGGCCATCATGGGTTTATAACATCACACAATATTTTTTCAAACAACCACTCCAAGTCGTTAAGACATTTTGAATAACATTTTGATATGCTATTTAAAAAAAAGCCTCCAATACTAACTGCATATACACAAACACAGAATACTATTTTGCATCATTTACTGTCTCTACACGGACACGACAAAATCTACATACAAATTGGAAAAAGATACCGATCAATAAGCCTTGCAAATGCCCGCTTTTGCATTTGAAACAAAAAGATAGAAAGAACGACGCGGGCAAGCAATTTCCTTAATGTGTTCACAGGAGATTGCTCTTGATAAAAAAAAAAAAAAAAAAAGGGGGGAGGGCACTGTCAGTGTCGCAGATTAACCGCAGTGGCCGAGTGGCGACCAATTGCAGGGATGCCAGGGTTCACACACACACACACACACACACACACACACACACACACACACACACACACACGCACACACACGCACACTTGCCAAATGGCAATGGAGCAAAGCTTACACCTGCTGACGCAACGCCAAAGCTAATGTAGGCGACGCATGGATGTGCCAGTGTAGCACAAACAGAAACAACACATCCGTGTGTGGTTACTGGAGGTGGTGGGGGAAGGGGTGGCGGGTGCCGCAACCGGACGCGTCACTGACGTCACTCAATCGAAGGGATGGAAGCCAAAGCAAGAGAAACTCACGCGACATACAAGGTCAAATAATGCGTTGCCATAGGAAAGGGATGCCCAGACTTTCTCCAGTGAGGGCCTCATTCAGAAAGATGGAAGGGGGGGGGCACATCAGCTCGTGTTTGGGAAACATGCTCAAACCGAGCTAATACGCGGAAGGGCAGCATATGATGAGCATTTGACCGTTGCAACAAAAGGAAAAGTGAGAGAGAGTCGATATCTCAACTTGACGTGAACGTCACGATTTGAATAGTGAACGGGGAAAAAAAGGTTTGTTTTTTTGACTTCCCAATTTTTTTGATAAAAAATCTGGGTGTGAAATTATTTTATTCAATTAAAAAATATCGAGCATTGAAAAAAAAAATTAACGAATAGGTGTATCGGCAGTTGCCAAACCAAGGGTATTATTTCTAATATTGTATCAGTATTTGTTTGTTCGGTTTTAGTCCAATTTTTTGGAATAGATTAATAACAAAACCCCCCCAAACTTCCCTGTACACAGTGCCCAAACAGCAATTAGGTGAGCTTTTCAGTGAATAAAAGAGGCCAGGTTATATAAAAATAAAAATCCACAAAAGCGTCACAAATACGAGGGAGTTCACTCAAAGAACAATGCAGGAACTGTTTTTGGTGAGAATAAAGAAATGATGACGGCAAAGCGGCTAAAAGTAGAAATACTGCACATGGTGTGACTGAGAAAGATCTTATGACTCAAAACTTGCTCGAAAGTCAGTTGGGGACTCAACTTTGACTTGCTTGATTGTTGCCACGGTAACTTGCTTGAACTGGAAGGTTGCGACTTGAACCGTTTTTGCACATCTGCTGATTAGCGGGAAAAACGTCACCGCTTAAAAGAGAAGCCAATCTTACAGTTGATGTAAGAGATTCCACGGAGGCAGCAAATAATGCGGGCAAGTTGAGCCCGTGTAGCACAAGACAGGAACTAAATAGAGATTAAAAAAAAAAAAAAAAAATGTTAATCCATTTTGCACAACACTTGTCCCCATGAGCGCATCGAGTGAATTTGGAGCCTATTCCAGATGGCTTAAGGGTGGAGTTTACAGTTGAAAGAGAGTTTACGTTGCAAAAAAAAATAAAAATAAGAAATAACACTGGGAGATTTTAAGGTTCATGGGTAATGAAACCCAAGTCACTTTTTAACTCAAGCAGACGTGCACGGCGACAAAACAGAAAGAGACGACTAAACGACGGCAGCGGCTTCACTTTTGAACAGGTGCAGGAGCTTCGGGCTGCGGGTTTCCGTGTCCAACTTTCTGCCATAACTTCACAACGCGCCTCAATGGGAAGAGCTTCACGGTTTGTACACAAGT